AGGGATGAGATCTTCAACTTATTAAACTTGGGGACGTGGTTTAATCACAATTGGCCAAAACCTGAAATTTAACTCAAAATCATCAGCAGTGCCGGCTCAGTGTCTCTGACATAATCTTAGTCCACCGAAGCCATTCCTCTTCCATTTTAACATGAAGGTATAACCCTCAGTTTCAGATGACATAAAAACACAACCACGGCTTCTCCTTACAGAAAGATATTTATAAAAAAAAACCTTGGACACCACGTGCATGGAAATCATGCTGCACGGTGCATCCTGTGACATATCCTGTTTACCGCTACAGCACTTGTCCTGTTCGGTGTCCAAGGCTGTGCGTGTGTGTTGCTCAGCTCAGCCTTGCACTGGCCTCCAGTCCAACAGGGGATCAAATACGAGCTGTGCATGCCCGTCTACAAGTATTTACACCAAAATGCACCGTCCTAATCGAGCTAATACATGCGCAGTGCCAGTTGCTGCCAATGCCAGTTGTCGTTGTCAACTCTGGTGGGTGGCACACAGTGACCTGATCGCCCCATGCACCAAGACGACGTTGAGATATGCGCCCCTCACCCATTTCCCCCCATGTTTTGTGGTGTCCAGAAATCTATGCAGCACTCACTCACTTACCAACTCACCTACCCATCCACTCACTCACCCTCTTACTCTCTTACTCACCCATTCATCTACACACTTACTCACCCACGTATTCACTCACCGGCATACTTTGCGGCGTCTAGACCAATCTACGTGCAACTAATTGGCAGTCACTGCACACAATTTGTCAGAAACTGTCAGCCAATTCTGCCATAAACTCAAGACAGAAAAGTTCTGCAAAGCATAAACGTGATGTCTTCGTGATAGCCATTGTACTACCAGAATTGTACAAATACCAAATGTGTTTCAGAACATCACAAAAGTTACAAATGAGAGGGGGCCATTCAGTCGATCTTGCGCATTCGGGCACAAAAACCACAGAAAGCGGAACAATTACCATAGCTCTATGGTCTGGCAGTAGAGGGGATACTTCCTATGTATAGTCCCAAATGACAAATTTGTGGGTAATTTTTCAAATTAGGCAAATTTTAACCATGACTCCAGCACACAATCGTATACTGTTGCCGTCTTAAAACATCCATTGTAAAGCAGACGGTGCATACTCATGGTGAATACACCCACAGTATTGATCAGGGCTGCCGCTGGATTTTTATCCATGAGCCTCTACAAAAAGCAGCATTACCGCTAGGACTTGCCACACTGCCCTCACTTAGTTTATGTGCCACAAATGTTCGATATTAGATTTAAGAATGTGCTGCAAATCTGAAAAACAAATGCGTGCTTTCCTCGAGCCATCTTGTTTGGATACAAAAAAACTGTGCCATGTGTTCTAATATGCTCTACACTGAACAGCCACCCACCCACCCATTTCAGCCACCCACTATGGAAAGGGCTTTAAGCATAACTGCTCTCACTGCAGCTTACAGGACTCAAGGGGGATTCTTAATTCAGCCAAACCCATATTGACATAATCGGATAATCTGGATCTTTGCTCAATTAAGAGGCTTGGCCATTACGGTCGCCTAAACATTTGGCAGTGGTAACTTTTTTTTACAAGGAAAATGCAAGTCCATAAAAGCATGACCTGAAATAGATGCGGATCTCATATTATCTCAGCAAGCAAACTTACAAAGCATATGCTTATAATTTCAAGCATGATTTTATCACTGTTAGGGGTGCAACAAATTACACCACTAACATTTTCATGAGTTGTCATAATGTGGCACATGATTCGATTTCCAGTGTTATTTTAATTGGCCTTGTGGTGCATTGTAGAATTAATAATAGTATAAATCTGTAGATTATACAGTGGAGTGAATTAATATAATCAGTAATTTAAAGCCATCTGCTGAATGAAGGCATTTTTTATGCTATATTGATCACTTGGTTTATTTTACCATAATTTACCAAAGGTCAGGAGTGAAGGTTGAAGGACCAAGAACCATACTCTTTGGTCCTTTCGGTAAAGTCACGTAGGTATAAAATAAAATATACCTACGTGAATTTACCGAAAGAACCAAAGAGTCTGGATTTCTGCAGTGACGAAAGCTCCAAATCAAGATTGACCAAGAACCAGCTTAGTGGCATTAGCCACAGCCAGGAGTCCAATTTTGCTCACCAGGTTCATAAACTGCCACCGCTTCACCCCATATAATATTTTGGGTGTACATTTTATAGAACATATCATAGTGTAAACAAATCTAACAGAAACATAGAATTCCTTCACACATGGCATTCTACAGGTAACACGAGCATAAAAATCTACTCGAATCACCAATTCATTCCATACCTACTATGTATCTTCTGCCCAAGTCTTTAACGTGCTTTTCTAAAACCAAGTGTTCCTCTTCCTATCAATCAGTGTACTTCCAACCATAGAAGGGATGATTGCTCATGGTTGGGACTAACAACAGTGGCAGCCAAAGGAGCGATAACAGCTGAGAATACATCCAACGCAGGAGTTGGAGTGACGAAACCTACTCGTGTGTGAACGTAATATTGATTGCAGTATCCCAAGACCGTTAGAGACGGCGATAGCTTCGTGGGTCTTTAGCTAGTAATGATTAGATCATGACTGCCGATGATGTAGCTAACAACTATTGCCTGAGCAATGGGAAATACAGCTTAGCAGTTAGTGCGAATAGTGAAACGCATCTCTGCATCGGTGAATAATACCAACTCTAACCCCAAACACAAATCCTTATCTCATACCCAAAATACTTACTGCTGACAGAACAAATTCAAAACATAGCGCTTAAAACTAACCCAATCCTTATCACTTTCTTGACAACTTCAACACAAGCCACGTTCTTGACAATAATTATATCTTTATCAATGCATGTTGTATGGCTCGTTGCCCAATAGCTTATCGCATGTAATGTTTTCCAGCGTTTCTAAGAATGAGTGCAATGCAGGGATGTTATAAATATTTGCTTTGCTCCAAACTACAAAAAACGAATCATAAGCACAATACAAATTGCTAACAATCATGCAACAAAAACCACAGTCCTGTCCCTTCTGTGTGCAGATACATACATCTCTTTTGTGAGACCTGAAAGAAAAATATAATAACCAGTAGCATGCCATCCATAAAGATTTTTTTGCATCACAATCAACAAGTGAATCATGTACAAAATGTTGCATTTCGCAACGATATTTAAAGCATTGCTGAACTTTAAACTGATCTTTATGACAATTTAAAAAATAAATCAACCTCTGGGCTCCAATTGTTGGGAAAACAAATAAAAAATATATCGACTTTCAGATGTATAGTTATAATCCAAGAGTCAACGATATTTGTACCATGTTTTGGCTGTCTATTAATTCAACACATAATTAGGAGTTACATATTGAGTCACAATTGACACACCGAGTAACTCGGTGTGCATACTTATTATATAATGTACACGATCTACATCGGCATGTCTCAAATGGTCGGGTCAGGACACCCGGGGGGGGTCACAAAGGTTAATGGGGGGCGGGTGAGGAGAGCTCTCTTTCTCTCTCCCAGTGTCTGTCTTGGGTCTACCCACTTTTCTCTCTTTGTCTCTCTTTCCACTGGCCTCTCTCGACTAATCTCTTCCCTTGTGTCTCTTCCTGTTGTCCCTCTCTCATCATTATCATCATGCTGATTCAAATTATTCTCGTCATTATATGCGTGTGCGTTTGTGTATGCATGTATGTGCACACTTGTGAGTGTAAGTGCGTGTAAGTGTGTTGGCATGTCTGCATGTGTTTGTATAGGTACGTTTAGTTCGAATTTGTGTTATTACAAGTTATCCAGAGATAATTGTTATTGTTTCACTGGGTTGATCAACTAGTTAACTAAAGACAATGTGTGGCTGTGATTATGTCTTTAGCGTTAAATATATCCACAAAGGTTTAACAAAAAAATCTGTTACACCCATTACGAATGGTTTTACACTGAACACAAACATATCCTTGCTGCATACAGAACTACTGTAATTTGAACGTGACCCGCCCCAAGTGGACATCTGTGAAAAAGAGCTTCAAATCTCATCGGATTGTCTCCTGCAGTCTAAAATAAAGATTCCGATCACATTCCTGTCCGCCGCATATCAATATGGATCGCGTTCCGCGCACCATGCCCCACGTATACACAACGCAGACAATCGAACGCATGACCACAATGTCTGAGGCACTGCGCGTCACGTGCAATGTGCACGCACAGCGCCCTCCTCAAGCCACTGCTGGATGAAGGCCTCAACACACCACGCGGCGCGGGGTCGTGGTAGCGGCGGTTGGTGAATGCATTATGCAATGAAAACGCATTTATATTTGATATGCGCTTGCCGTCGAGTACGCTGTCATCGTATGCTTTTACGTGCTGCACTATACCGTGCATTCCATTGTACGTCGACATCCGAATTATCCGACCGCGTTAATTCAATCGGCGTACAATGCATCGCAGTGGATATTTACGCTCGTATTCAATGAATGAACAGTTCGCCGACTTATGAACGTAGTATGCTTCGTACTTTTTCTTTTTAGAGTTAATATAACGAGCGACGAACGCCGCTCATGTACCCCTGCGTATCTGACCGGGTAGTGGAAATTCTACATTCCTATGACAGGGGCAAGTCCACCACCATTGTAATGACGCGTACAATGAATTACACCGCACATTGCACTGTACCGAAACTCATTAACCCCCGCCTCGCACTAAACTCCAGGCAGAATCATCGTAAACATTGAAACTACTTATTTTTTTAATTTTAACTCTACAAACACTTCCGGCAACATTACGCACGTTTGTATTTTATTATTATATATTTAAAAAATATATATAACACAACAGCGCCACGGCCTCAGAGCAAACCACATACTCCGTTCAGTCATTCTTATGAGGCAAATGTTGTAGTTCAGATGCGTTAATCTTATTTATAATTCGGTACAAAGTTTACGAAGTTCGCGCGTTCTCCCACCTCAGTCAGACTCAGCCCGCGCGTCGCCATCTTTATCCCCCCTGCTCCTCCCGGCACGCACCGCGCGGCGATAGGTGCATTGCAAAACGTAGGCTAGATAAGCATTGCGATGAGAGACTGTCTGTATAACGTAGTTTAAGTAAGCAGTGCGAGGACGGATTTTTTGTATAACGTAGTCGAGATGAGCAGTACAAGGACATGGTCTATATAACGTAGTCTTGATAAGCAGTACAAGGACATTGTCTATATAACGTAGTCTAGATAAGCAGTACAAGGCCAATCTGTCTATATAACGTAGTTTAGATACGCAGTGTAAGAATATACCGATTGTATAACGTAGTTAATATATGCGATGTTCTTCTTTGGTTCTTTCGGTTATTCTCATTCTACGTGACTTTACCGAAAGAACCAAAGAAGATGAATCCTTGCAGTCACGAAAGCTTTAAATCGAAATTTATATGCGATGTTTTTATAGAAAGTATATAACGTAGTGTGGATAAGTACAACTACGATTGGCAATTGTATTACATAACCTTGATAAGCAGGGCGGCGATATACATATTATATAATGCAATACAGATAATCAAAGTCGAGATACGTATTATATTGCGTAGCCTGGATAAGCAAGAGCGGAGACATTGCATAACGTAGTGTGCATAAGCAACAGTGACATCTATTTTGTAGAACGCAGTCTATACAGGGTGTCCCACAAGTCTGGAATACAAACTAACACAATTCTGTGTTATTGGTTCGCGGTCTGGATGCAGTCTGTTACATTCAATAGTGACCTCCATTTGACTCCAATTTCCTGAGTAGAATTATCTGGACATGTTCTTACTTACTCAGATACATCTTGGGACTGCAGAAACAATAAAAATATGAGTTATCTTCCCTGATTCTAGACTTAGGGTCCACCCTGTATTAGGCGTCACGGTGGCGATACGTTAACTATCTCGATAACTATGCTCGGGAAATAAACTTCTGATTCTGATCTGACGAGGTTCATTCCAGGTGATGCGTTCCGTTGGTTTGTTAGTAATCATAAATTATTGTATTGTTGAAAACTGTTCACCTTTGTCAAAACATTTCATTATAGCTTGTTAAATAACCTGTGCATAAGCAGCAAACAGCAATTGCCAACGCTGCGGCTTATCAGTCTCAACTGAGCTTAAAGGACTATACCTTTCAAAACGCAAAACAAATGAAAAATATCAGTAAAAGCAAATCTTTATTAGATAATATACCACATCAAAAGAAACAAACCGAATAGACATCACATTTACACATTTATTCCAGACTTTAGGCAAACGACACACAACACACGAGCAGAGAAGGCAATGTGACCATGTTTCTTTGGTGATCATTCTGAAAGGGGTGAGGGGCTATAGGTTAAAGCTACGTCACAATTAATCAACTAGCTACACCCCCTCCCATCCCCACGCACTGGTGAGTATGCACTGATAAAGGCAGGGACCATTGACGTACGAGGATTCCTCTACTTAGGAACATCCGACTTACAGAGATACAAACAAACCTGGTCCTCTTCGGACTTAGAATCGTAAGTTAAGCTGCCGCGCAATAGATGGCGGTGGTGACATCTACATCTGCAGAACATTAAGAACCCGTGGCATTTACATTTATAGATTGTACAACTTTCAAACCCATTCCCCGTTGTTCACGCACCTGCCGTACATGTTTGGAATCGACAGGAGTAAAGCTGGACTTACGAACAAATCGACTTACGAACAGACCTCTGGAACCCAACTTGTAGAGGAGTCCCTGTCGAGTCATAGAATTGCTGCACTGCCGAATACTACCCACGAAGTCCCAGGGCCCCGCAGATGTCTATGACAACATATTTGTGCACTGGTGGTCACCCAATTCAAGCACTATCCAGGTTCTCAACTCTGCTTAGCTTTTCAGACGATTTGGTCATAGGCTGCACCGTAACAATGGCGTTTAAATAAAAATCCAACATTACTTCTACACGCATTTGATTATGGATATAGTTTTGTTGAAATGCTCACAGACGTGAATTCCAAAAGCAATGTCGAGAAATGCCAAAGTGGAATTCACTGTGCGTTGAGTAAACACTTGAAGCGCGAAGGGTGTGTGTTCACACAACCAAAGAACAAAAATAAATTATACATAACACACGCGCCAAACTTTCATGGCAAAAAAAAAACACTGGCAAAAACATTCAAACGGCTACACACCCATTTCCTGAGTATATAAAGGTTTGATGTGAAATTATTAAACGGCGTGTCACTGTTGGCCCTTGTGAAATGCAAGAGTTAGGCCTCATTAACAGCTCAGCTGCAGTGGTAGGGGCAATTTAAATATAAACTATGGAAGGCACTGATTAATATATATACATATGGCAAAAAGCATTAGCACCGTATGTACAAGAACTATTGATTTGTAATGCGAGACAACCTTGCTGTTGTTTACTAATGTACAAAAATATCATTATACAGAATAAAAACAAACATTTAAAACTTTCTTTTAAGCTGGTTAAATACAAAACACACTGCTCTATGGAACTGATAAACTTCACCCATTCCACAAGAGGAGCATTAAATAACATTGACAAGCTCATTAAAATATACAAAAATCTAAAAATGTTTAAAAGGCAAACAAAATGTAATCAAGTCAATAAGTGTCACCCCACCTAAACGAGTATTCGGGTGGTACCTATTTCATTGGCAGCCCTGAGCCAGTAGTGAGAATTACATATTCCTATGACGGGGCCAAGTTTATCCACAGGAAAACCATTTTTGACTTAAAACAAAGCGATATTAATTTAATCAACCTTGGAAGAGACGATTGTCTAGTTTACCCCCCGACCAAGCTATAACCAGAGCCACCCAGACGGACACAAACAAAATCTAACATAAAAAAACTGAGGTCGTCACCTTGTCTGCTTTTAACTCAGAAGAGCTTGGGAAGCTGTCGCAACCGTTCAATGTCCAGAATGTTTCCCATGGACTCGTCACGATCGTTCCCTCGGATTTTCTCTGGCGAGTCCCCCCGACCTGTACCACCAGCACCATCACCGACACCACCAACACCACCGCCCAACACTTTTTTCCGCTCCGGCAAAACGCGGAGCGGATGCCTCGTGAACACGGCGTGTCCTGTGCTCAGCAGCTTCCTCTGCGGCTGCGTTAACCCCTTCAACACCTGCACGGTGCTGTTGTCTCGAAGCCCGGCCGCGTCAGTGAGGGCCCGACCTTCGCCCGTCGAGCGACGGGATCCTGCTGCTGCCGCCGCCGTCGCGGTCTCTGCCACGGCCACCAGGCTGGGCTCCGAGTTGCGGCGGGCAGACAGGCGTTCGCAGAGCCTCGCGCCTCCTGACCCGTGCTCCATGCAGGCGGAAAAGTCCGAGCCAGGTGTTTGGGAAGAGCCGCCAGCGGTGGAGGGTAGTGATTTAGCGATGACGTCAGAAACGCTGTCTACATCTTCCGCTGGAACGCGAGCACCGACCGAATCCTTGCGGCGAGCAGCGCCAACTTGGTTGCGATCACGGTCATCGTCGTCGTCGTCGTCGTCATCATCGTCGTCGTCATCGCTGACGCCTCCATCAATTAACCCGTACTTCTGCATGTACCGCCGTGTGGCAAAGGACATGTTGCTTGGAGACAGGAGACCCGGTGCGGTGCTACGGTCGCTGTCCGAGAGGCTGGCCGCAAGCGATGCCCGGGCCACATCGGCTGCTCGACCACTTCCGAAACCGCTGCCGCTACTGCCACCGCCTCTTGAGAGCTGCGCCAGCTGCGCGTCGCTCAGGTACTTGAGAGCGATGGCGTTGGCCTCCATGCTCAGATCGACCGACATGCCGGGGTCCCCAGGGAAGCCGCTGGCGCCGATCGCGAAAGACAGCGAGGAGTAGCTGAAGTGAGGCAAGGCCAACGCTGCGGCCGTAGGGAGGATCCGCGCCAACGTGCTGCGTGGGGCGACATTGCAAACAGCAACAGCAATTTAAATGTTTGTAAGCATCTCAATGCCATTGCAGCTCAAAATGCTTTACAAAAAAAAAATACCAGGGGGATAGGGGTGGGGTCAGGGCAGGGAAAATGACAAGGGAAAGTATCTCCGTGGGGCATCCCAGGACGAAGCAACCAGGGTCCAGCTCCAACAGCACGCCCAGAGCTCAACTATAAAAAAACATTGCAAGCTGTAAATTAGTTAAATGTAAATAACATGGTTTTATTAAAAGATATAGATTAAGATGTTAACTACCTCGCCTGGTATACAGGAGGTCGTGGGTTCGATCCCGACCCTGACGCCTGAAAATATGGAGTTTACATGTTCTCCCTGTGGTAACGTAGATTTTTCTCCGGGTCCTCCAGTTTTTCCCTCTACATTTACAAAACATGCGTTTAGAGTATTTGGCTGCTATAAATTTCCATGTGATAAGCCACTTCACTGTGCCATCATTTGTGGGCAGGTCGCTTCTAAAAAAAAAAAGAGCTACATAAGCTCAGTGGGGCTTACCTGGTAAAACTTAAAACAAATAGTTGAGTTTATCCGATAGTTTTGAGGACACGCTGCATCGCTGCAGCAGACGGGGAAGGGAGGTGGGGCTGTACCTGGCCCTCTCCGCCTGTTCGCTGTGTTTGGTGCTGCCGCCGCTGACCACACACTCCATGCCCTCCCCATCCAGACGCACGCCCATCTTCCTCAGCTGCTTCAGTGTCGCCGTTACCACGCTGTTATCCTCTGCTTTCTTGCGTCTCGACGTCTGAATTTGCATGACACATGTGCAGGTAAAAAAAAACAGGACTTTAGTACTCGTGTTGAGACCAGTAGTCAGAAGCGGTCACCACCAGGTCCTCCGTCCTCTTGAATCTCGGTCTGTGTCCATTTAAAAATCTTGACAGGCAAGATTCCCGTGCCCATCCCAAGGGGATGCCTGACGACTGAGGGCGATGCGGTGGCTACCAAAAATTGACCCTCATTAAGCTTGAACAGACTTTTCATAAATTTGGTCACGAGCATCACGACTTAGTAAAAAAAAAAACGCCGGTATAGGAGAAAACGAAAGAGGTGCAAAGTCCCTACCACCCCGTGGACAGCGTCTCCTCGCGTGGGCTCGGCTTCCGTCGCCATCCCAGGGCACGGCTGGACAGCGGGCGGCCTTTCCTCGCGATCGCTCGTGGCGCTCTCCTCACCGGGTGTCTCGGCAGTGTTGGTCAGCAGACGATTTACCTGGTGCTGCCGAAGCGCACAGATCCATGCATGTGACGATAATCCCCCGCCCCCCCTACTCTCCGCCTCGAAGACACCTACTAACACTGGCAGAGCACATAAGGCGTGGTGGTATGGCCAGCACCACAACCCGCCCGTCATTGTCCCTCAAGTGGCCAGGTGGACCAGATGTCAGAGCACTGAGATGTTGGGTGTAAATCCAGGCAGCTGCCTGTGAATGAAATGGGTTTACTCCAGCGTACAGAGTGAATGCTCTTAATTTAATCTGCAATTCATTTGGTTCAATTTCAACTCGACAAATATCACTCTCAGTGACAGAGCAGGTGGTAAAGTGCTGCCCACTGTCGTGTAAACCTGAAGTGGACAAAAATCAGCTGAGGTTACTGGAAGGAACCTCAAAGGTAGCTGTGATATGCACAACTGTGGGCCGTTCTCTAGCACTGCTCTGCGATATATCCAAATTGATTAGTCTAAAAACGATCAGGATTAAAGTGGAGATGGTTTTTTAAAGCATCAGCATCATTGTTTGAGCAGAGCATAAAAGCTAAAAGAAAAAAACAACTTTCTTTGTGTATTATTTATTTAACTTACTATTTACCTTTCTTGTGCTATTCGTTGCGCACGGTTGGACTTTTTTTGTGCACGGTTTCAATTTACTTTTCTCAGTCGGTGTTAGCCGTTGAGGTCGTGACTGGTTTCTCTTTTCATTCCTGTTGCTATATGCCCCGGTACCCTTCCCATTCTGCTGTAATGGGGCGTCCTGCTAGTGAGATGTTAACTACCTCGCCAGGTATACAGTTCGTGGGTTCGATCCCAACTCTGATGCCTGTATATTTGGAGTTTGCATGTTGTCCCCGTGGTCGCATGGATGTTTCTACGGGTCCTCCGGTTTTTCCCTCCACATTTCAAAACATGCGTTTTTAGAGTGTTCGGCTGCATTAAATATTCACGTGAGGTCACGTTTTAAAAAAAGAGCTACATAGCTCAGTGGACCTGACCTGGTCAAATAAAAAGTTTGATTGGTTGAATGAAAGCAACGCTTTCTAAGTTTACCCGCCACGTACCAAGAGGTTGTGGTAGAACTGCTTCTCGTCCCGCATCAGGAGGCTGTTGCTTTCTCCGTCCGCTTGCTCTGCTGCACTCGCCACCTCCGGTGTGCCGGTGGCAGCGCCAACACCACCACCAGCACCTCCTCCTTCCCGCTCGGCACGGACATAGATGCTGGCGCTTTCCCCGAGTGCCGGACTGCCCTGGCCAGCGTGGTGGGTCGGACCCATCGGTGAGCTGTAGGAAGAGCGTACAGACAAGCCCCTTTGTCATTCTGCTGCTGGACAAAGGCCTGCTGGATAAAGGGGCGAGTTATTTGACCACATCTCACCACGCTGGTCATTGTTGGTTGAAGGTGGGGGCATCGACGTGTAAGTATCGAAGCACGGAACATCAATGGATTTTTCTGCACTACCCTCAATGCAACACAGCCCCTCAGATGCCTATAACAACCTGGTTAGATTGGTGAATGCAAATACCTATAGATATACACAGATAGACATATACTGAGAGATGCATGTACACATGTGCAGAGTTGCATAAAATCCCTTTGTGAATCCACTCCTAACACAGAAATTGTTTTGCCATATTTCACCAAATTGGTCAGTGCAGGACGGTGAATGAGGTGGGTGGGGGTGCCCGGGTCCGAATCAGATGACACTCGCCCACTGACGCAAGTCGTGGCTGGAAATTTAACTCAAATCGTTGGGTTCATAGCACAGTGAATGAAACACCGCACCAAACACAAAAGATAAAAAATATCCCGTATAGCCTGTAATAGACTATTGGGGCAAGTGCTGTTAGCGGGCACCTATGAAGGCTGGCACAGTACACGAAGGGTGAGGGTGGCCAATACTACGCCCGGCCGCCTTTGCCACCCCAGTGGTGGCAATGATGATGTTTACATTCTGCACCAGGCACTCATTTGAGGCCGAGTCAGTCTAGGGGAAGCCCAGGGCCGGTTCGGCGGGTATCGAACAACTCGGGTCACCGGGTTTGTAGCACAGCGCGCTAACCGCTACACTACCGCTGTCCCCCACCGCACACCAGGTACAGTACATGTACACCATAGCTATCCCAACATAGAAAGGGTAGGAAGTGTATACCATCACTAGGTTAGCGCCGTCACAAAGCAGTGCGCCCAGAGAAGATACAATAATCCACAAGAAGTTTTTTTGGTTCACAAAAGATAAAAAATATCCCGTATAGCCTGTAATAGACTATTGGGGCAAGTGCTGTTAGTGGGCACCTATGAAGGCTGGCACAGTACACGAAGGGTGAGGGTGGCCAATACTACGCCCGGCCGCCTTTGCCACCCCAGTGGTGGCAATGATGATGTTTACATTCTGCACCAGGCACTCATTTGAGGCCGAGTCAGTCTAGGGGAAGCCCAGGGCCGGTTCGGCGGGTATCGAACAACTCGGGTCACCGGGTTTGTAGCACAGCGCGCTAACCGCTACACTACCGCTGTCCCCCACTGCACACCAGGTACAGTACATGTACACCATAGCTATCCCAACATAGAAAGGGTAGGAAGTGTATACCATCACTAGGTTAGCGCCGTCACAAAGCAGTGCGCCCAGAGAAGATACAATAATCCACAAGAAGTTTTTTTGGTTCAGATTGCGTAAATATAAATGTATCGTTAAACCCGCCACCACCCGATAGCCAATAAGTAAGGTTTGTCATGCACACCGGTGTGTTGGAGAGTAAACCCAAAACATTCACAATTCGAATACTCGAATTGGCATTTTGTTAACGTGACAAACCTTACTAGTTGGCTGTGTCGGGTGGTGGTGGGTTTAATGACACATTTATATTTACGCGATCCAACCCCAAAAAACCTCCATTATAGAAAATGTTCACGACAGCCTGTGTGTTAAACTAAAAAGATCCAAGAATACAAGGTGTCTGCACTGCCATCTCCTGGCCAGGTGTCATGCCAGCTGCTTTTTGGGAGTTTCGCAAATCTCTACGTGATCCGCCAACCTTAGCCTCCAAAGTGCTGAATCCCAGGAATGCGCCACCACGCCAGACTAGTTCAGGCTCGTCCTGCTCTGAAAACATCTTTTTAGCACGTGATTAACTATCGGCAACTTAAAAAAAAAACCAATCCCATCTCATGTGGGGAGGTGTATTTTTATGCAATTGTTGGCGAGTGGACTAACGCAATAATACATGAAAGAATCTGCTTTCTTTACAGATGAATAAAACATTAATTTTAACCCAAACACTTGCGTGTTACCACCTCTGAGACGGCCATTTACAAATCCCCCCACCCGCCCCCTGCCCCCCAGGGGGCTAATGCGACCACCTCCGTGCCACCACGCAAACAACACAAACGCCGACCTGTCCTGGGAGGAGCTTCGGCTGGAATCGTCGGCGCTGCCTCGGCTCTCGACGAAGCTGGGCAGGTCGACGGCGTGCAGCGATGAAGCCACGCTCGCGTCGCACACCGCCGCCGCCGCCGCCTCGATGACGGCCGCGACGGCCTGCGCCACGGCGCCCTCGTCTTCGCCGGACAGCGCCAGCTCGCCGTCGTCGCGCGCCACCCCCTGCCGGATTTCGCTGGCCCCGCCATCGTCGGCGTCGTGGCCGTCGGTGGCGCCGTCCCCGCCCGGTGTTGTTCCGCTCGTCCCCGCGTCTCCTCTTTGCGTCGGCCCGGCCGCCTCCCCACCGCCCGGTCCCCAGATCAAGCTTCCTCCTGTGTTTCTCACATGCGGTGAGATGTAGATTAAAGGTAGGATGTGGAAAACAAAAACCCAAAAAGAATGGATTCTTATACGTGCTCGATTCAATTTATATAACACGGGCATACGAATTTTTATATCTTTTTAAAATTTTTAGCTTATTCTTTAATTTGACATCGATTGTTCCATTGGCATCAAGACATAACCATTCAAATCTCTCACACAGCAGGCCTGAGAACAGGCACCTGCAAGCACTGTGGTTCTTGTGTGGCAAGTGTTACATTTGATGTTTTATTACTTTAAAAATAATAATTAGTTTTTCTCACGTTAAAATAGTTGTTCAAGAGTGTTAAATATTTGGGCTTGAAGCATTACTCAGTTTTTAACATGGGAGCCAATGGGAAAACGACAATCGTTAAATTTTCGCGGAACGTATCTCACTCGTGAAGTGAGACGCGCCTGTACCATGAACATAAAGCGGTATGTGTGATCGACCGCTGCCGGTCATACGAGCTGTGTGAAATACACGGTGCTGGCTTTACCTGTCTCGCAGGCGATGCTGACCGCCTGCTTCTGCGTTCCCGCTGCCCTTTTACTCTCGGACGGAGCTGGGCCCGGTGAACTTGGCGAGCTCCATGCCGGAACGAGAACCTCGTCCCGCTTCGATCCACCGTTGCAGATTTGTGCGGCCAGCAGCTCCTGGATCTGATCCGAGAAAACAACAAATAGGGAAAAAAAATCACGAGTCAAATATCTTCTTGTATTTCACAATTATAAAATTAGGGCCCATTTTCATCAATCCACCGCCAGGCAAACCTCTCCTCACCATGGTCGCTCACAAACAAGTTGTTTGACTGCACTTCACTGCACTGGTCAGTGTGGGTTAGTGACGTTTGGGGGACCAGGACCGTTTTGGCTATCACTCGCCACTAATGTTAGCTGTGGCTGGGAATTGAACTCAACTTGCTGGGTTCACAGTTCAGTGCACTAACCACTGCCCTTACTACTTCATCCCATTTAACAGTGGTGAAAGTTAAATATCGTGCAAAATCGAATTATCATCGCTGGCATATAACATGTCTGACCTGACTCCAGAATAGATATGGTCGTGAACATTAGGATAGAAGGCAACCAGGGTAAGGAGGGCTGTGAAATAGACACGGACGTCTCGGTCTTCAAGTGGAGAAATAAGGACCGAGACGTCAGAGCCCAGAAGACAGAAAGTATGTTGACAGTGACGCTGCTAACAACAACGACGCCACACACAGACCCCACCACCCTCGCCCCATTCACCTGCGCCTGCAGCAGCTTTAACTGCCGGTCCTGCTCCATGAGCAAGCAGTAGGCGTCCCCCGAAAGTCCCGGGACGGCATGCAGGCAGCCCACCCCTCCGGGCGGGTCCTGCTGTAGGCCATACGCCGCGCCAGCGAGGAGGGGGGGTGGTGACCCGGGCCACCCGACGTGTCCAGGGTGACCGGCGCCCATCGCAGCCGCGCCAACATTACCGCCACCACAGGCACCGGCGATGCCACCGCTGCCGCCGTCTCGCTGTGAGCAGCAACAGTGCTCTTTCGCCCGCTGCATGTGGTGGCATGGCCACGATGGCACAAAGTTGGCGCTGTGCGGTGTCTCCCCGTGAAAATGGGCGGGAGACCTCGACTGCCGGTAGCTATGATGATGGGAAGATGCTTGCTGCTGCTGCTGCTGTGGTTGTTGCTGCTGCTGCGGGTTTTGCCATTGCTGTTTGTTTTGTTGCTGCTGACGGTGCTGATGCTGCTTCTCCTGCTGCTGCAGCTGTGAGTTTTGTTGCTGCTGTTGTTGCTGCTGGTGCTGATGGGGGTTTGGTTGCTGCTGCTGCTGCTGGGGGTTTTGTTGCTGCTGCTGCTGCTGGTTTTGTTGCTGCTGCCGGTGTTTCTGCTGCTGTGGATTTTGTTGCTGCTGATGTTGTTGCTGTTGCGGATTATGATGCTGCTGGTGTTTCTGCTGATGTTGCTGCTGTTGTTGCTGCTGGAGCTGTTGTTGTTGCTGCTGCAGCTGGTGCTGTTGTTGTTGCTGCTGCTGCTGGTGCTGTTGTTGCTGCTGCTGCAGCTGGTGCTGTTGTTGTTGTTGCTGCTGCTGGTGCTGTTGTTGTTGCTGGTGCTGTTGTTGTTGCTGCTGCAGCTGGTGCTGTTGCTGCTGCAGCTGGTGCTGTTGCTGCTGCTGCTGGTGTTGTTGTTGCTGCTGCTGCAGCTGGTGCTGCTGTTGCTGTGACAACGGCGACGATGACGACGATAAATACAGAACCTGCTGCGGTGCCTCCTGTTGGGGCCGCCGCGGCACGGGCGACGGCTGGCGCCGGGACGGCACCATCCCTGCTGCTGTTGTGCCCGCGCACCGCTGCAGGAAGGAGACGTCTGGAGAATGGGCACGTTGCGGCAGAGACCCAGAGCTGCCACTGCCGCCTCTGGCCAGCGGGCATAACACAGGCCCCGGGAATGTCTGGGAAAGTGGACGCCCAGCGGCAGTCGTCACCGGTGCCGAGTTCACCGGAGAGCGGCCACTACCGGGGTCCGGCTGCTGCTGCTGCTGGTTCTTGGGCATCAGCGGTTGCCGGATGAGCGGCGGGCCCCTGTCCACAGTGGCGTCGGCACGCGAGGTGGGAGGAGAGCCGTGATTGTAGGCAAGCGGGATCTTGGAGTGCCGGTCGCCCACCCGTTTTGCCGGGCGCACGCGATCTGCCGGTGCGCGGTTCTCGTCGTTGCCGGACGACGGCGGTGGTCGTGGTGGGGGCCCCTTGGGGGCTGGCAGAAAGGTCCCGTCGCACACGAGCGACAGCTCCGGCACGCACGGATGCACCTTCGGCGACTACGGAAATCAGCGATGAAAAAACAACGAATACGTCGGCGAAATGACAAGGGTGATCACATCAACACAATGAAATTAGTGATGACGTTAGTGAAGTCATGAGCAAAATAACATTAATGATTAAATAGAACCTAACCAGCGTATTCCTCAACAAGACATTAATGATTCTAACATTGTGCAGCCCTGTACAAATCACAATACATGTTCAGCTATTATCACATCTTGCCGTAATGGCCAAAATACATCAAGCTGGTGGTACGCCACCATCTTGCAGTCGACATTGGCAAGTTTTCGCCAACAACTGGATGAAAGGTAGCAACAGCTACCACATGAATTTGGCCCTGAGCCTATGTTAGTCGTGAAGTTAATTGAGGGATGTCCTTTGAAAACCTTGATAATCCACAAAAAATTATAATTGCCTAGAAAGTAGCTTTTGTTGAGTGGGCGGATTTAAGTGGATGGAAAAAACGTGAATTATTAGGTTCATTGTGCAGCAATCTGTGGGAAGATGATACAAGATAAAAGTGCAGCCCTGAAATCACTTCTTTCACGTTGTACGTAGCCAACCGTGCGAATAGGAGGTGCGGTGTTAGGGCCTCAACTCGAAGGAGCTTTAGAGACTCCCTCTTGAGGGTATTTTAGCATAATCTTCCACACTGGCCAGACCTTGGAAGAGGTGCGAGAGTACACACAATTTAACCCACCACACGCTGAGTGAACAGAAATGGGGATATCAAAACATATACTTGCCCATTGTTTCAATGGCTGCATCGGGAGATTGAACCTCAGACCTCTGGATTACTCTATTAAACTATTTAAAACTACGTTTATGTTATCAGTTAAGGGCTACTGAGCTATATAGCTCAGTGGGCTTATCACATGGTCATTAATCGCAGCCAAATACCTCTTCATGCACGTTTTTAAATGTGGAGGGAAGAACTGGAGGACCCGGAGAAAAAATCCACGCGGTCACGTGGAGAACATGCAAACTTCAAATATACAGGCGTCAAAGGTCAAGATCGAACCCACGACCTCCTGTATACCAGGTGAGGAAGATGACATCTCACCACCGTAGCGCCCATATTACACGTCCAGTGTCATAACCATTCAACACCACAGCAACATCCGTGGGGAGTTGATGTAATGAAGTGTTCCAATGGAGCTTTCATGGATTATCTTTAAAATATGTATCATTTTTTTCTTTCCACAGGACACCCCATCAATGTGGCGACGTGGCACGGTGGCGAGCTCTCGCACCAGCTGGGTGTTGGGGTGAGGGCTGGGCGTGGGACGCGGAGAGAAGTCCTCCTCCTCCAGCCCGGAGTCGTTGTCGCTGGGCAGAGAGCGCTGCCCGGGTGATGCTGGCCCCTCACCGACCCTTAACAATGCATCGACAAACAACAAGGAGGTACCAACTTTTTAAGACCGAGTTAACCTAGGGGGAAGACCCACGGACAGGTCTCAAATACCGCTTTGCCAGCCGACGTTATTCGTGGCTGCGATTGATCTTGAGTCACGAGATCGTAGCGCAGTGTGCAAATCAATGCCCAACCACCCCTCCAATATGCAAACATCCCCGTTGATCCATACGGACCAGTGTTGGCCAATACACCATTCTGGTGAATCTCACCAGGCTACACGGTCCACCACAAAACTGTAGCCAACAATTGCCCTGATGTATTTAACCCTGTAATAAACCATAGACATAAAAGCACTACGTGCCATCTACTGATAGAAGTTACCGTTTATGTACAAATTTGTCGGGGATTTGTATTTGCCATCAGCTGTTCACGAAAAATGTCTGCTTACGTTAGTATGTGTTCTGATTTGTCCTGAGATCTGCAACTAAATATTTTGCGATCCTCCTGTGTATTGCGATCCACATAGTGGCCACTGCCTAGTAAGGCCAGCAAAGCGCGCTAAGAGGTGGTGTGCCACCACCACGGCTGGGCTCCTTTATCTTCCCCATGCTAAGGTTTTACACACCGCAGCATGTACACATTTAATGCTGAGTCTACCTCACGGAGAACAGGTCATGGACAGGTTCAGATATCATTGACCACCAATGTTGGGCTTCGTTCGCCAGCAGACTGCATTACTACAAAACCCACTTGTATAATCCATTGTTGTAATTTCATATGATCCAATATCTATGCTCCCTGCCTTCATCAACCGGCACTGACCAGCATGGCGGAGTGTGGTCAAATAACCCCACGACTCTAACTAAACTTTTTAATGTTACCAGGTAAAGCCCACCGAGCTATATGGCTCTTTTTCAGAACCGACCTGGCCACAAATGATAGCTCAACGAAGTGGCTTATCACGACGGCAATTTAAAGAAGCCAAATACTTTAAACGCATGTTGATTCCAAATACGGTGGGAATGACTGGAGAAATCGGAAAAAAATGCACGCAGGGTGGGGAGAGGGACCTCTTCCAGCAGTGAATTAACCAAAGAGGTGAACACGTATTACACACAAGTGGCCGCTTTGCTTCTGTACACTCACCCTAGGCCAGGTGCGCTGCCCAAGGCTCCTTTAAAACACCCCCACTCCCCACATCTCCTGTCTGGGGCCAACTCCAGCTGCACGGGAGGTCTCTCCGCAGCCTCCACATCCTGCGGGGGACAACAACAAGGTCAAAATAGGTTAACCTCCCAAAATTACAGACGCGACTCCGAACAACAACAAATATCACTTACTTTGGAAATAGAAACCAAGGTGTGACGGATGTGATTTACAAAATAAAAACTAAAATGGATACTCTTTGGTTCTATTCGGTAAAGTCACGTAGGTAAAAAAAACAACAAAAATTACGACGTTTCGGCCACAACACAAGTGGCCTTCATCAGGTGAAGGGACCGGACTGTCCTCTGGATGAAACGTCGTGATTTTTGTGACTTTACCGAATAGAACCAAAGAGTATGGATCCTTGCAGTCACGAAAGCTTCAAATCTAGAACTAAAATGGAGTTGGGCAGGACATCTAACCACGACAAACAAGCAAATATACCGGCAGAATAGAGGCCGATGGAGGGGAGGAACAAAAGTAGACAGAAAATGGAATGGTGAGAAAAGACTGGAAGATTTGGAGTAGCACAATTGTATTATATTGCAGCCTAAACTAACTAAACTTTTTATTTTACCAGGTAAGACACACGGAGCTATATAACTATTTTTCAGAAGCAACCTGGCCACAAATGATAGTCCATTTAAGTGGCTTAGCATGTGGAAATTTATAGCAGCAAATACTCTAAGAGCATGTTTCTAAATGTGGAGGGAAAAACCAAAGGACCCAGAGAAAAAAATCCACATGACCACAGGGAGAACATGCAAATTCCAAATATACAGGCGTCAGGGTCGGGATTGAACCCACGATCTCATGTATACAAGGCGAGGTAGTTAACATCTCGCCACCGTGGCACCCAAATGAGGGAACATGTCACAGGGCATGTCAACCTGACAGACAGAGAGATGAGGTCGGCTCATGTGCAGGTGCACGATGAATTGCTGTATCGCAGGACAATGATCAGCGTTCATTACGATGGCTTATGTGATGGTAGTTAGTGTTGTGTAAGTAGCTGTGCATGCACGCCCAAAGACCCATATATCGACGTATTTGCGTTTTGCTTATTACAATAATTTGCTCGAGCCCAAAAATAACTTGTTTTGGTGCAGAATAAATTGTTTTTCATTACAATTAACATAACTGTTTGCTATCATGCACTGTAGAGGAGCCAATGCATGAAACTTTAGCCTGCTATAAATGTGTCTGTGTTAGTGAGCAGTCAGTGATGACACTGGTGATGTTTTCAGTCCAAAATCCATAAATGTCCTTCATATTTTATTGTATCAGTTACAGCCCTTCGCTAATCCAATATTGAATGAAAGCATCTGTGTTTCGGCCATTTAGGCTGTTTGACCATACTTCACTACGCGGGTCAGTGAAGACGAATGCCCAAAGATGTTTTCAGATATCACTCGCCACTGATGTTAGCCACGACCGGAAATCAAACGCAGGGCGCTCCGAGGTTCATAGCCGAAAGATATACCTTGGTACTGTACTCAGATGCTCCCACGTCTATGCTTCCTGCCTTCACTAACTCACACCAACCAGCATGGTGAAGTGAGGTAAAGTAACTGCCATGAGCCACACGACGTGGGGAGGGCTGTAAATGTACATGCAATCTCAACTGGACAGAATTTGAATAATAACAATGCAATGTATAACGTGTACAATATGTTGTGTTTAAAGAGGTGGGGCCTCTTAGGTGTTTATTAAAAGTCTGTGTAGATTGAAAGCCGCGAATTGCAGCGGGATGGCATTTCAGACAGTCGGGGTTGCCACAGAGAAAAACGATGCCTGGCAGTGACGGTCCTTGTCGCTGGTATGGATAAGAGGTTGTCAGCCACTCTGCGGAGAGTTCTACCTTGAGCTAGAGTTTATGGTGACAGGAGTGAAGAGAGGTGTGGTGGATGACCATAAGTAGAAGTGCGGTAGCACAGGCAGGTGATCTTGTAGCTTAAGCAATATAGGTTTCCCCAGCAAGAGCAACCACTCTATCCAATTCCAACGGCAATGCCCCCCTTCATGAGTTAACTTGACAGGGGAGGCTCAGAGCCAATTGGGTAACTGTCAGATGTATGCCAGACACCAAAAAATACCCGACTCAATTGCTAACAGCTGCCAGAGGCATTTCAAATGCTGTTTGCTATTAATGCGGCTCAATGGACGACTGTGTGTGTGTCAATGCTGATGTGCGATTGCTGCTAGTCTTACCCATTTTTACAGAGAATGGTAAAATGTATTAAATCTGTCCAGCTCCAATTATGCAAAAAGGTCTTGTCGTTAGTTTTTACTGTGGAGAGTGTGGAATTTAAGTTGCCTCTGACTTGGTATGGTGGGTACATTTGTGACTATGTATGTACTATCATAATTAGCCATGCTTTATCCACTGCTGGATGAAGGCCTTCCCAAGTCGTCGCCATCCCACATGGTCTCTTAATGCAAAATTCTATCCAGCTCCAGCATCAGCTGACAATCTCAGCGGTGGTTTTGTGTGAATACTCACGAGGGGATAACGGAATAGGTACAATGTAATAGCTGTGGATATATGCAACAAATGTGTGAATGTGGGATATGTACAATAGTGCGTGGCAGTGATTAACAACACTGCTATGCAGTACGATTCAAGTGACGCGAGTTGTATTAATATTTTATGTATGTTGAACTTCTTTCGCACGATACGTAGCCAACCGTGCTAATCGGAGGTACAATAGCACGTGAATTTGGCTTGGCATCTCCAAACTAAACACAGCCTGAAATGAGAAAATGTGGCAGCAGTGTGGTCAACACCGATACTGGGAAGATAGCAGAGGTCCCACATGGGGTAGACCCGGCTGCATCTGACCGTGGCGACCTTAACAGGTGCTCACCAACAGCACTTTGCTTCGACAACGCAAGAGTACGGCTGCGCGTGCACACACACCTTGAAGACGTGTAGCGTCTCCGAGCAGGAGTATAAGTTGAAGTCCAGGCCTAGGCCGGAGGTGAGGCTGCACTCGTAAAACTCGGGCTCGCTGTGCGTGAGCGTATACACGAGCAGCAAGCATCTGCTTCCCTCCGCAAGCAGCCTGCGGTAGGAGGGGCGGAATCCCGCAGTGTTTCAGACACGAGTCCCAACAAACCAAGGGGTTTAATGTCAAGAGCTATGCGTGTGTCAGTGCCACAGGGTGTGCGTAGTAACCCACAAGGGCGGGGTGGGGGGGACAGCGAGTGTCACAGCCACATTTGTCACAATAACAGGCGAGTATAACAACCACACGTGTTACCACAGGGAGAATGTCACAACCGCAAAGTGTCACACACACAACAGGATGAGTGTAACAACCTCAGAGCGAGTGTTTCGTGGTCATCTTTTTCCACATTTTAATCTCGACTGTGATTTTGGCATCACGTCATAAGACAAAGGATCCATTTAGGTCTCTTACAGAGCAGTGCGACCATTCATGAAGAGAATGACCCATGGATGCGGATACCACAGAGCTACCTCTGAGATCCATTCTCGTAACCTCTCGTCCACATAATAGGGGAGAGAATGTTTTCAACCCACTCCATCAAACCAACATTTTAAATTCACAGAATTAAGCCATATTATGTGCAGAGCATAATGTTTTAATGGTTGTTTTGCCCTGTTATTGGTGATTGACCATTAAAGCACCACACTCTAGAGCCAGCTCAGTGCTCTGACCTCTGAGCCACCCTAAAATGGAATTAATAAACACAATGCTCGTGAAAGTACATTGTTACAAAGTACTCGAGACAAGATTATTTTGTTCTACAGCGAGCTGTAACAACGCACCTCTGGCGGATGAAAGTGCCGAAGAAGAATCGCAGGCAGCATGCCCACACGTGTGGATTCGCCACGTGCATCACCCCGCTCACCCAGCTGTGTAGCACACAAATCAGATCACACGCCAGATGTTCACAAGCCAGTGGTTCACAAGCCAGCGGTTCACACTCCACAGAGCAGGGGTAGGCAAACTTTTTAAAGAAAATGAGCCGTATTTTTTGTCTCTGTCTTTGACCGATCTAGTTTGAGAGCCTCACCACATGCAGAGCTACTTGTACATAAACACAGCAAGTAAACAGCAGATGACAAAGACAATCCGACTTAAATAAACAAAATAGGTGATTGAACAAACTGCATATATTTAGGTTTTTTATTCTTTAACAATACAGCTTGACTGCACAATTTGTTGTCACCAAGACATTCCAGTGGCCTATTCTCTACCATATTTAATTAATTTTCTTTAAATTAAATTGTGTTTAAGATTAAAGTGTTTTTTGTTTTACGGCTGCCCGCAAGTGCGCAACCAAAGAGCCGCAAGGGGAAAGCCAAAGAGTCGCATGCAGCTCTGGAGCCTCTGGTTTCCGACCTCTGCTCCAGAGGTTCACGCGCCAGCATTTGTCCGCGATGTACCGATATGCGAAGCAGAATGACGATAACCTTCATGAGAGAGAGGTCGCCCCTCGCGTCACTCACATGCCAACCAGTGGGAGACTCTGAGCCTTGGGGTCCGACTCCAAGATGAGCAGCAGCTTCCGTGTCTGGTCCATTGTCAGGAACCTGCGTCACCGCACACGGTGGTGAGAGTTCAAGGAGCCCCACTTTCTCCGCAGCTGTATATGTCAGATACAGCCACCCCCATTAAGTGTCACTTCGGGTGTCTTTTTCGTTTTGTAAATATGTCCAATGTTTTCAGCAAACCAATGGGCAAATAAAATGGTCAAAAAGGTCAAGGCTAAGGAAGATTTGTATGTGTGTAGAGCCGTTTTCACTTCACTGCTGGATAAATGTTTCCCCACCCCATATCAGTCATATTTTGCCATTCTCATGAGTGCGGGTTGGTCGACCCACACAAACACCCAAACAAAAGCCATGCACCTAGACACACAATCATATCCACACACAAACTGATACACTCACACACCAGCTGTACACCCACACTTACACATAATGGTAGAGATCACACATACAGCTGTATAAGCTGTTGGGGAATGTGCTGTTAGCGAGCACCTTACCATAACTTCAACAAAGATAAATTCCTCTCCATAGCTTTAACTAACTGTTGGGGCGAGTGCTGTTAGTGGGCATCTATAAAGGCTGGGATGGCATATGAGTGGGTGGGTGGCAAGCACCACATGCCTCTCGTCACCCCAGTGCTGATGTTTATACACCATGCCAGGTACCCATTCAAGTACTGAACTCTCATACTCACCAACACATCCCTCCACATATAAACTAATAAAATCACACACCAACCCACACATACAAAACCCATAACCACACACCTGCCCACGCAGCTACTAATAACCACACACTAGCACATGAACTAAATCACTCGCACACCAACCAATACACACGCAAACCCATAAACCCACTCACTTTCCAACCCACACATCTACCAACACCCACCCACACACATGAACCCATGAAATTGCACACCAGACACAACACCCGCCATTAGCCACAAAGCCCCGGTGATGTCACCACAATGGTTGTGCCAGGCTAGGTGCACTTCAAGGCCAAGTCAAGTATCGAATGCCTGCAGGAACACATGCTCGTACATCGTCCCATACAAACATGAACCCATAAGTACATACGGGGAGAAGAAAGGTATGTATGTTGAACTTCTTTCGCACCGTAGGTAGCCAACAATGTGAATCAGAGATGAGGACTCACCCAGACTTGCACGCTGCCTGCACCCTCGCGATGCTCGCCGGGCCTGCGAGGTTGCGCGCCAGGGCCGTGGGAATGATGGGCAGCGGCCGCACGGGCGCGGCCAAGACGGTGCGGGCCACAACCACGGCGGCCAGGCTCAGAGACAAGGCGAGGGCCCCGGGGCCCGAGGGAGCGCCTTCCAGCACGGCACGCGCCAGCAGCAGCCGCCCGGGGTCGGAGGCCTCGCGAGACGATGCCAGCTGATGCAGAGACTGGTGGGGGTGGGTTTTGTGGGTGGTGGTGACAGGGGGAGGCACATAGGAAGAGGAGGGAAGAGGTGAGTTGAGGAGCGATGAGGAGAAGGGGTGGGCACGATGGCAATAGTTGTGGTAACTGTCATAATCGTTATGAGCAGCATCACAGTTGCAAATCATAGCAAAATTAATGTACAGTATTTCGAATATACCACTGGGGTCAGGAGTTGGCCACCCACCCCCTCGTGTACCGTCAAAAGAAAGCTGTCTCTGGTGTGGACCAATCAGTTTCAAGGACAATGCATATATTATCAGAGGATGTTTTTTGTTTGCATTCTGACCACAAGCATTGTGGTCAATTCAGACAAGATTCCTTGTAAAAAGGTTTCAGTTTGGTTTTTAACATCTTAACACCTGTTTTGTTGCCAGAAAAACGGGGAAAAATCTATTATCATATTTAGGTATTTGCAAAGGAGGTCCCATGACCTTGCAAATATGTATATACTTGTCGAGTGATTGACAGCAGAGGGCAGTCCAGCAAAGGTCATTGTTACACTGTACTTCTATGCTCCTACATTTAGAAACCCAAACTTTACCAAACTCCCTTCTCACCAGCATACTGCTCAAGTATGAAGTATGGTCAAATAAAGCCCACAACACACAAATGGCATATAAAATGCATCATTACTGAAAGGGCACATAATATCACGAGAACGTTTGAGAAATTAGTTCACAATATTTATACATGCGTCCAAACGGTCCCGCTTAAATGTACAACGAAATAATGCTTCCCTTAATGCTTCCTTTGTTAAGAGGGTGGTGATTAGGCATGTACAGTATTAGAGGGTTGTGTGTGTGTGTGGGCGTGTATAGTGGGGGAAGGTGGCGTGGGAGTGCTGTACAATCTAACCTTCCCACAGCAGCCATATGCCGCGCGAATACACGGGGAAAAAAAAACACGCAAAGCAGATTGGCGTGCAGCTTTGTCAAAAACGTGTTTTAAAAAAAAATGCATATTTATGCTGAGAACACAAGGGGTTATTGAGTTTCCGAAAGCTGTTTCACGAACCAAAAGGATGAATCCTTAAATTTTACCGGCGTCAAACAATTTCCTCGCCACATTTGGAGACGCAACGCACACGCGCGCGCGCCCCTGGCGTTCACTAAAAAGGTGCCTTAAATGTCACATTAGTGGGACAATTCCTCTGAACCCTCGTAAAATTTCTGACCCTGCCGATCACAAATTCAACTTAACCTCGAGCCTTCGAGAGAACGGCGACCTGCGCCGGATGCTTAATGGGGTGTAAAAACAAAATGGGCCCGCGCACAAAGGGCCAGTCACAGGTGACACCGCTTAGCTGAAAAACGTTAACAATCGGCTTAACGACTTGGTGCAAGCCGATACGCTCTCAAACGCCACGGCACAGCTGGTGCCGATGTTACTGGGAACGGATTCGCGCGGGGGGGGGGGGGGGAATGGCGAGGGTGTGGGGCGGCGAGCTCACGTGCACAACGCGGTTTTCAAAACGAAGGCTGACGAGCAATTCATCACGCCGTCTGCTCGCGCGCGTCGTCAATCGAAAGCCACTCGACCCGTGGAAATGCAATGATGACCGTCACGCCCAAGTGTGTGTGTGTGTGCGTGCACGCGCGCGGGCGGGCGGGAGTCGCTGTTTATCCCCGTCTGTGATGTGCTTTACCTGCCGTTCTTCTGTGTCTCATTGTTTCTCGATTTATTTATTTTGCCCCAGTGAGTTTGTATTCTCCTCGGGTTGTGTTTTATAAGGTGCTTTGAGATGACGCGGGATTTAATCTCCAAACAAATGCAAATCTCTATTCAAATGTTTTGCCTCTCACGGCACTCGCAATGCATCAATCCATCTGGTTCCCGTACACGAGTTAATTTCATCATTCTTTGTTTGTAGTGTACATCCTCTGAGACGTATTCCCTCCTTGGGCCGCAATTCTAACATTTGTCTTGACCACCAGCCATCATTCATTCGAGCAGTGTGACCTGACCAGCCTACATACTCTTAACATGCAATGTGATGTCTAGAACTTATAATCCTTAATCCACGTATGCCTTTTCCCATATCTCAGCATAATTCCAGGCATTCGATCTCCATGTATTCCATGCATACGTTTTAGATCGTTCCATTACCTTGGCAAATGTGCATATTTCTGATCCACATACTATCACCTAGTTTTAAACATGTTATCGATGGTGATTATGATGATACTCGAGTGTAAGTTCATGTCAGAGTGTAAGTTCATGTCAGAGTATATCACTGCTCACCCAATTGCTTGATGTTGCTTACATCTCCTTTGGTGGGTCTGAACTTCTGGTTAAAACTCCACATTCCCATGGAAGGGACTAGTGTCTACATAAGACTTAGTTTGATGACGGGGGGCTGAAACCCAGAATTGAACTCAAGTCTCTCAACAGCACCTGTGACTAAATCACTTGGAATGCACCCAATCTCATAAGACTCGGAAGCCAAGCAGGCTTAAGCCTGGATAACACTTGGAAGGGCGACAACCACGCAAAGACAGGTTGACGTAGTACTGCGGCGCTATGTGATGGGCGGCAGACAGCAGTGCATCAAAATCCAGTGTTGTGCTGTACTACTATGCTCCCACATCCATGCTCCCTGCCTTCACCTAACCCACACTGACGAGAATTACAAAGTATGGTCGAATATCTCCAGCAGCCCACATGGCATGGGGAGACCCTTTTCCAGGAGTAGATTGACAAAAGGACTACATGAGGATTATAATTATGTATGTTTGTAAAAATGTGGATTTGTCCATGAGCTCCTGCCAGCTAGCATTTGACACTTCACGTGGCCTCAAAAGTGCACATAGCCTGGCACAAGCGCCGCGGTGAGATAACCGTACCTTAGTGGCGAATGTCGGTTGTTGTTGCTGTTGTGTCTAAATCTATATATACCTATCTCCTCATTGCTGTTCCCTCCCCATTTACGTGTACGTCCCAACATTACCAATGCAACGCCTCTTGACATAGCCAAATTAATTCAAAGCCCTCACCGAGCCACCAGGCACACGCCACTTTTACTGTTTTCACTCACCTTGAACGCGGCCAGGAAGTCATCACGGCTGTGCATGGCGGTTTTATCGGAGCCTGCCCGGGCGGGTCCCACGCACATCGAGATGAGGAAGTCTCCTGGCAGAAGAGCAGTGGGCATCACTGTACCAGGTCCACCCGGGGTCTCTCGCCCCGGATCGAACCTATCCACCGTCACCGTGATGCCCTCTTCGTCTGTCCGAGGAGGAGAGAAATTATTTGAGTGTTTGTGCATGAAACGAGTGGTACGGATGGGAATCTGTGGTGTATGGACACAAGTTAACAAAAATAAATTGCAACTTTTGTCCTTAACGCTGCTAATTATGATTGATAACATTAACAGGCGTACAGCAGTCTTACGATGACATCTTCAAATATTAACAATGTCCCATAACACTGTCTAATTACAATATCTGTTAACATTGTCATTGTCTTATAATACTTTACCATAACATTAATGTCTCATATTTAAACTATCTTAACTCTGGCTATGTTGACGACAGTTGATGGCAGTGCAACAACAAATCCATTGCTGTATTTTTATTAATCTTTTTCACAATTGGTGTCCCCACTCCTGTATAGAACCTTGAACCATAAATTCAACCCATGCAGTGGCAAAGCGTTCTTATAATCACCAAACCCTGATTTTAAATTATCGACAATCGACCTTTGCCATGCCTCAGTTTGCCAAATTAACCTTACTCACCACTCCCATATAACCCCCCCCCCCTCCATGGATGCAGTTCCCATGCTTACCGTTATCGATGGTGAGGGAGCCAATGAGGAATGCAGACTGAGGCTTGCCTCCGAACTGGTTGGCGTGGCGATGAGCCAGCCGCAGTGTCTTCTCAAGAATCAGCAGCCGAGGATTCCTGTAGGATAGAGTGATAGGATGTTATCTGTGCTGGGTACTGACGCGGATAGATCAAAATACCAAATTGCTATTGGTAATGCTGACTATCTGTTAATTTTTAAGACAGCCCAACATGTGACTGTGGTAACGCCACTCAGACCATCGACCGCATAGATGTTCACTACCTCGCTTGGTATATAGGTCGTGGGTTTGATCCCGACGCTGACACCTGTATATTTTGAATTTGCATATTCTCCCCATGGCCGCCTGAATTTTTCTCCAGCCCTCCTGTTTTTCCTTCCGCATTTAGAAACATGCTTTAAGAGTATTTGGCGGCTGTAAATTTCAACATGATAAGCCACTTCGTTGAGTAATCATTTGTAGCCAGGTCACTTCTGAAAAAGAGCTACATAGCTCAGTGGACCTGACCTGGTAAATATATATTTTTAATAGTTTTTAATAAACCCATGTTAACTTTGAAGATTGAATGGCGGCATCAAACGGATCCACCCCACATCAACTGAGGTAATTTCCTTGCCAACTAATCCAGGAATGCATGAGCAAGAGAAACACCGGAACTCTTGTCTCCCTGCTCGAATGACAAATGGATATATGACTTTGACTAATAATCAGGTAAAAGCCAAAGGAGAATGTAACATTTGAAGGAAGATCAAAGGCATGCTGCTCATCTTCTTGGGCAATCCTGAGCCGAGCGGTGGAAATTCCATATTCCCATGATGGGTGCTTGTATCTCAATGGAATGGCCCACTGTACGTTGTGAGCAGCAGAGGGCAGTGCTGTACTTCTGATCTTCCACATCTATGCTCCCCACATTCACGAACAGCAACAACAACCGCTAAGCACCACTAAGTGGCGTAGACGTCACTATAGCGCTTGTGCCAGGCTATGTGCACTTTAAAGCAACGTGAAGTGTCGAACGCCCGCTGGCAGTAGGTCACGTGACAGACCCAGGTGCCATGGGTTAACTGACATTCACCAAACCTGCACTGACCAGTGTGAAGTATGGTCAAATAACTTCCACGACCTGCACATGGGGAGGCTCCTCATCCAGCAGTGGATTGACAAAAGGCCTGCACATGCACTGTATTAATCACAAGTGGCTGAAATCTGGTTTCAAACCAAGGAACTTGTCCTCCCCGTGGTCGCGTGTATTTCTCTCCGGGCCCTCCGGTTTTTCCCTCCACATTTAGAAACATGCGTGAAGAGTATTTGACTGCTATAAATTTCAACATGCTAAGCATTTCATTGAGCTATCATTTGTGGCACAGGTCGCTTCTGAAAAAGAGCAATATAGCTCAGTTGGCCTTACCTGGTGAAATTAAAAGTAGTTCAACAATCAGAAACATCACCCACATTTGTGACAGCTGGGTTCGTACCTGAACTGCGCCATGTGCAGACAAACTGGCTTCCCCTGCGGTGTGGGGTCCCAGAGCGCAACGTTGCTCTGGGGAAAACTCAACGGCATCAAGGCTCCATTGCCGTTCCTAAAATAACAGAACGCAGAAGCCGGGACCGATGAGCGATAAGGCTGTTTGCATTGCCTTCTCCCCTGCAGCACACCAGCCGTAGTATTTTAAAAAGCTCAGTTAGTGTTGACAAGTCACCGTGATAAATTGGTTGCAACGCTTAAAAGTAAAAATCGTTAGCAGCCCCGAGCCAACGGTGAATATTCCACATTGAAGGTGGGAAGAGTTTCTCCATGGCAGACACTTTTTACTTTGCGTTAACTAGGACTTGATCACGTATACAAAGTGCTCTTGCCAATAAGGTCTGGCAACTCGACAGTGTTTTGACTAAAGCTATACGTTGAGGAACTTGAGTGTTATTCGATTCATTTACAGTCCTTTTTCTAAATTCACTACGTGATGAAGGCCTCTAGACGTCATGTCAGTCATATGGGTTATTTGACAATATTTTACCACACTAGTCAATGGTTGTTGGGGAAGGGGTGGTGGGGGAGGTTGGCAGGACCGGTTCGGATATCACTCGCCACTGATATTCGCCAAGGCCCAGAATCAAACTCAGGATGCCAGGTTCATATCGCTTTGCACAATAATATAAAATACTGTAATATAACTATACGGATTGAAAACATATTAAAATATTGCATTACTTCCTGCTTTTTGACTTGTCCGTTGCAAAGTACGCCGACTCCATGATGATCTCTGGCACGTTTAGAAAGCTCACCGGAATGCTCATTGTGCTGCAGTCGCACTCACCTGTGAAAGGAAAGCGATTTAAACTAACAAACTCAACGACTCGCCGAGCTCCATTTGCTCCAGTAACATTTTCTGGGTTGACAAATTCCATTTAAGTTTGTTTTTTCTTCTATGCTCAAACGAGCATTGACCGTTGCTCATCTCATAACCGCTGGCTAATTCCTCTGTTGGGGGAAAGATTTTTTTTTTAAAGAAGAAAACTACTGACTCTCTGCAACGTGGTTCTTGTTTTATGGTCGTAAGATGAATTTATGGGCTGAGCCGACACACCAACCAGAATTTTACCTTGTATCTTTCCATAGGGAGTCGAATGCTCTGCCCAAGACTTACCAAACTAGTTCGTAACATAATATTGCATGGCATAATTCAACATATTAGTGGAACCTCATAACATACCACAACAATGTTAACAAGGAAAACTATATACAGATTTCTAAGGTAACTGTAACAAAGACAGAAAAAGTGAAAATGAAAAAGAATTACAATAACTTAAATGAAACCACAAAAATCTAATTTAAATCTCACCAATGTAAAGTTATTCACAATGCTCGCCATATTTTAAGTTATTTATAACCTAGGTATGTGCCTATTGAGGTGAAAAATATGGTTTAAAAAAATCAGCAACGTTCAAAACACAGTATAACCGTCATATTTTAAAACAAAGAACATGACAGTAGTCTATACATTTAGGTATTTCAAACATATTCAAAAGCAGTTAAATTAATTGTCCGAATATAGAATTGAAAAGCTAACTGAAGATTGCCCGAGAGATAATATTTTCTAAACCGAATGCAGACACCATAATATATCGTAAAAGAGGAGCAGCACATTTAAAAACAGACCTAAGAAGACAAAGGCTGTCTCTTTTATCCAACACGTGTTTATGTACGTAAGGATTAAAGTGGGTTTATCAAGAACCAAATTTGGGCTCCTGTCAGAGCTACGTACACATTTAACAGGTGTCAACTGTCACCCAAACGCATTGGGCCCCACATTTAGCCGAGACGCTGGAATAACTGTTTCTGCCGAGGTCAAATCAGTACCAAAAAAAACTGCAGGTTAACGATGTCAAAGCAGTGAATTATTTTCTTTACGTGAGCGCACACATAAATTAAATTACGCTTTTCAAGCGAGCATCTCTCTCTCTCTGTATGCTCAGTTTAGAAAATAAATAAATAAGAAAAGCACCGAGGCACATTCCCCAGAATTTTAACTGCGTGTGGGTTTTAAAACGCAAACGGCTGTAACAACAGCTGAATAAACAAATACGGCACGCAAACCTTGCCCCAACGACGCCGCCACAATCTCGGCCTGCGGAGTCCCCCACCAGACTTCACGGTGGCTAGGATATGTTAACCACCCCGCCTCGTATACAGGAGGTCGTGGGTTTGATCCCGACCCTGGCGCCTGTATATATAAAGTTTGCGTGTCTCTTTCCCCGTGGTCGTGTGGATTTTTCTCCGGGTCCCTCCGGTTTTTGCCTCCACATTTTGAAAAGTGCGTTTAGAGTAATTGGCTGCTATACATTTACAAATGATAAGCCACTTCGTTAAGCAATCATTTGTGGCCAGGTCGCTTCTGAAAAAGAGCTATATAGCTCAGTGGGCATTACTTGGAAAAAACAAAGTTTATTTTAGACTCTAGACCCCTGAGTAGCCCGGCATGATACCTTAAATATACAGCTAACAAGACTCTATACTGCAGTCACGAAAGCTTCAAATCAAGATTAACAAGACTCTCGCAATAAGCTGCATTATGTAAAGTCATTGTAGATATATATGCAGATATGGGCAGTTCCAATCATTAGGAAACCTCACGGTTACATTTTCAATCTCGTCTTAAACAATACACATAGGAAGCATCTATATTTTCAGAAAACATGCCATGTCAACGGTTGGACACACAATCACGAAATTGAATGCACTATCATCGTCATCCCAAAAAAGTGGACTAATTACTTTTAAATTACAGTCCTTAATAGCTGACATACTAATTCCTAACTGGAAATCCAGTTCATAATTATAATATAATTTTATCATATCGTTAAAGTGTCCGAGATGTACATCCGAAATCATGGAACTTGAGAGATATGCAGCAGCGTAAACTCGCATGGGGTCCCTTGCCCCCAACCCCCTAGCCCCCGGTGGCAGAGCTACGAGTTGAGGCCCCTTTGACAATCACCATGAGACATGTATTCAACAACAGTGCGAAAGAACAAAACATTTGTGTAATGATGTGATTAGACAAGAGAAGCCGCGATATATAGCAGCCTAAGTGCGACCGTGGGAGACAAATCAAATATTGGGGTCCCACCTGACCGATTGCCGCACCCCCAGAGCTGATACAGTGAGGGAAAAAAGTATTTGATGCCGTGCTGATTTTGTACGTTTGCTCACTGACAAAGAAATGATCAGTCTATAATTTTAATGGTAGGTTTATTTGAAAAGTGAGAGACTGAATAACAACAAAAAAATCCAGAAAAACGCATGTCAAAAATGTTATACATTTATTTGCATTTTAATGAGTGAAATAAGTATTTTATCCCTCTGCAAAACATGATTTAGTACTTGGTGGCAAAACCCTTGTTGGCAATCACAGAGGTCAGACGTTTCTTGTAGTTGGCCACCAGGTTTGCACACATCTCAGGAGGGATTTTGTCCCACTCCTCTTTGCAGATCTTCTCCAAGTCATTAAGTTTTCGAGGCTGACGTTTGGCAACTCGAACCTTCAGCTCTCTCCACAGATTGTCTATGGGATTAAGGTCTGGAGACTGGCTAGGCCACTCCAGGACCTTAATGTGCTTCTTCTTGAGCCACTCCTTTGTTGCCTTGGCCGTGTGTTTTGGGTCATTGTCATGCTGATATACCCATCCACGACCCATTTTCAATGCCCTGGCTGAGGGAAGGAGGTTCTCACCCAAGATTTGACGGTACATGTCCCCGTCCATCGTCCCTTTGATGCGGTGAAGTTGTCCTGTCCCCTTAGCAGAAAAACACCACCAAAGCATAATGTTTCCACCTCCATGTTTGACGGTGGGGATGGTGTTCTTGGGGTCATAGGCAGCATTCCTCCTCCTCCAAACACGGCGAGTTGAGTTGATGCCAAAGAGCTCCATTGTGGTCTCATCTGACCACAACACTTTCACCCAGTTGTCCTCTGAATCATTCAGATGTTCATTGGCAAACTTCAGACGGGCATGTATATGTGCTTTCTTGAGCAGGGGGACCTTGCGGGCGCTGCAGGATTTCAGTCCTTCACGGTGTAGTGTGTTACCAATTGTTTTCTTGGTGACTATGGTCCCAGCTGCCTTGAGATCATTGACAAGATCCTCCCGTGTAGTTCTGGGCTGATTCCTCACCGTTCTCATGATCATTGCAACTCCACGAGGTGAGATCTTGCATGGAGCCCCAGGCCGAGGGAGATTGACAGTTCTTTTGTGTTTCTTCCATTTGCGAATAATCGCACCAACTGTTGTCACCTTCTCACCAAGCTGCTTGGCAATGGTCTTGTAGCCCATTCCAGCCTTGTGTAGGTCTACAATCTTGTCCCTGACATCCTTGGAGAGCTCTTTGGTCTTGGCCATGGTGGAGAGTTTGGAATATGATTGATTGATTCTGTGGACAGGTGTCTTTTATACAGGTAACAAGCTGAGATTAGGAGCACTCCCTTTAAGAATGTGCTCCTAATCTCAGCTCGTTACCTGTATAAAAGACACCTGGGAGCCAGAAATCTTTCTGATTGAGAGGGGGTCAAATACTTATTTCCTTCATTAAAATGCAAATCAATTTATAACATTTTTGACATGCGTTTTTCTGGATTTTTTAATTGTTATTCTGTCTCTCACTGTTCAAATAAACTTACCATTAAAATTATAGACTGATAATTTCTTTGTTATTGGGCAAACGTATAAAATCAGCAGGGGATCAAATACTTTTTCCCTCATTGTAAATGTCGTTATGCCACTGTAGATACATAACCTTTAAATTGTGCTGCCTATAATAGAATGGCTGGCAGATCTGGCTGTTGACAGTGGTTGACTTTTGACAGTCACGGACTGTGTAAACTCAGCAGCATACATAGTAATTGTTTGCACGAAACATTAGTCTGACAGTTGAAGTAAAAGTCCTAGTTTTTGTTCCTGCTCAAACGAGCGTTGGGGTGGTACACTGCACTGAGTAATGGAAATTACACAGTCCCATGGAAGGATTAGTCTATGAACGTGAAGATCCCTGTCAACTTCACTCAAAGTGCTTGTCATGTTATCAAAATACACAGCGTACGTCAGCTAAATTGTGACAGTATCAGAGCACATTACACACACACAATTACACCGTACATGAGCCAACGTGCATACATTATAAACAGAATGACAAATATTTGTACAACATATATGAACGTCCAAGCGGCAATTTCACATTGAAATTACGAGCCCGAGTTCATTCCAAAACAAAAATACTATGCCGCAGAGCACTGTTAATGTACCGTTACATTTTAACGTTGGCATCTTAAGAGGTCAACGTGGTTTTGCAACTATAGGACCAATTGTGGACATTCCACATTGTTCTTAGGAGAGCCGATCGTTCCTCGTGACATTATTACACGAAACCGCATACGCAGTAGAAATAAAAACACAATTGTTACTGTACCTCTCATTTACAATTGTGACTGTCTTCTGTGTTATATTACAGGTGGCGCAGTGGTTATAGCATTGCATATAGACATGTCAGTATTGTACATACACAAGCGACGTAGTTTAGTCTTCATGTTATTATGTATCCACCCAAATTAGACTACTTTTTGCATTATACGCAACTGAACACGCCTTTCCTTTAGTCTGAAGCCAACAAAACAGGCATTTGTCGCATAGCACACATTCAACACAAGCAAGCATTACTTACCCTGCTGCAAAGTCGTCACTTCACAAACATGACAAAAACGGCGACAATTCAAACAATAACAAATCGCAGCGGCCTCGCCTCAGACGTAAAATCCGAAGCCTGCCTTTCGCCTGAGCCAAAGCCGCGAGCCTCGTTAAATTCTAAATCACTTTTGCGTACCCCTTAAAAGGCGTACAATTATTGCCTTGTAATTAACCGCGGAGCTAGAAAGCGTCTAGACGAAGGCCCCGAGGGGAAACGTCTCAGCGCTGAGGGCGTCAGCGGGAGGCGCGGCGGTTTAAGCGCAAACAACGGCGCCTGGAGGCGGCAAGAGGTGGCGGGGGAACCGGGTCCCATTGGCTTCAAAGGGGACCGTAGAAGAGACTGGGGAACCGGATCCCGTTGACTTCAATGGGGTCCATAGAAGAGACTGGGGAACCGGGTCCCATTGGCTTCAAAGGGGACCGTAGAAGAGACTGGGGGGAACCGGTTCCTATTGACCACAGTGGGGTCCATAGAAGAGACTGGGGGGAACCGGTTCCAAATTGACCACAACGGGGTCCATAGAAGAGACTGGGGGGAACCGGTTCCTATTGACCACAACGGGGTCCATAGAAGAGACTGGGGGGAACCGGTTCCTATTGACCACAACGGGGTCCATAGAAGAGACTGGGGGGAACCGGTTCCTATTGATTTCAAAGAGCTCATAGAAGAGACTAGGGAACCGGATCCCGTTGACTTCAATGGGGTCCATAGAAGAGACTGGGGAACCGGTTTCCATTGACTTCAACGGGGCCCGTAGAAGAGACTGGGGAACCGGTTCCCATTGACTTCAACGGTGCCCGTAGAAGAGACTGGGGAACCGGACCCCGTTGACTTCAACGCTGCCCGTAGAAGAGACTGGGGAACCGGATCCCGTTGACTTCAACAGGGCCCATAGAAGAGACTGGGGAACCGATCCCATTGGCTTCAACGGGGCCCATAGAAGAGACTGGGGAACCGGATCCTATTGGCTTCAATGGGCCCATAATAAGAGACTGGGGAACCGGATCCCATTGGCTTCAATAGAGCCCATAGAAGAGACTGGGGAAGCGCATCCCATTGCATTCAATACTATTCCTGCGTGTAATGTCAGCAATACGTTCGGGAGCTAAATGCCAATGTCGAGGTCTGCTGGCCACGACGAGAGGTCTTCAGCAGAGAGAGAGAGAGGGAGAGTTCGTGTCGTTTTGCTGTTCACCATGGCTTGACTGTGTGGGCCAAAGTTTGGGTTGCATTGCCACAGTCGCACTGCCACAGTCGCACTGCTGTGGCTGTGTAGTTAAGTGTCCATCTATGAGACGTGCACATGGGCCTGTTGATGTCCTGATGCGGTTGATGGCTACACTACCAGTGTCTTCCAGGAATGTCAAAGCCAGGAAGGCACGATTATGTTTCAGCAGGCCTGTCAACCCCTTATCAGTGCCCGACCTTATTACAGACCAATTCAGACCTTATTGATCACCCACGTGCCCTTATACATCTCAACGTTCATCATACAAAGTCCCATCACAAGGGAGACACACAAATATACAACACAAAAATCGCCCCTATTGAAACGGCTGTACGCCGTATGAACCTGCAAACACTCAATTTCCCTGTACAATAATACGGTGTAAACCGTCTGGGCTGACAGCTCTGTGTTTGGGTTCTGAACGAGGTGTTTGTTATACTGGTAGGAACGAAGTTGTAAACTGAGTGTACCAGCCTGCAATAGATTAATGTATCCGTCCGTCCGTCCCCTTTCAATACTTTAACGAAGTGAAATCTCGTGCTGTTGGGATGTAAAAATAAAATTGCGCAAAATTCCAATGTTCCTACCAGCCCACCCTGCAGGGACCTGTTTATTATTATGGACGTCCCGCGTTGTCCCCACTCGGTTCAGCCAGCGTTCTTCCGAATCTGGGTGAGATCCCCAGGATGGTAGCAGCAGCAGCATTTTTTTTTTACCAACGTGACTTTACCGAATAGAACCAAAGAGTACAGATGGTTGTTGTTGGCGAGGGGGACGCGTCGCGACCCCCCTTTGGCAGCTTGCTCGATGTCTCTGCCGGGTGCGTTGGGTGGCAGAATGTTCGCCAGAACGGGGACGGCCCACACGGGGATTGGCGTCTGTTGCGGCGTGTTCCCGTTACAATGCAATTGTGAGCGTCTCGCAGCTGCGTGTGTACTCGGGCTCTGTAGAATGCTCGCTGATGGAGAGGAGACGGCGTGGGACTGACTGCTGCTGATGCTGCTGATGCTGGTGCCAGGCACAGAGGCAGCAGCAGCAGTAGCTGCTCAAGAGGTGATGAATGGCAGCGTACGCACAGCATCTGGATGGGAGCCCTCCTCGCAAATCCACCTCTGGCTCTGGGCATTGCGAAGGGAGCGATGCGTGACGTTGTGTGGGAGACACGGAGGAGACGGGGGTCGGGATATCTCGTGAGTGACAGATGAGCACGGATGGCTACGCACGGCGCAAAATAATTTCAACATACATACATACCTAAAGCCCATCATCCCGTCGCGGTCGATAACATGAGTACATACCTGTCAACCCATACGGTTTTTACCCCGTATTCCTATACAGGGAAATTGAGTTTTCAGGTCCATACGGCATACAACCGTTTCAATATGTACAGAAAAATATTTTGTTTATTTGTGTTTCTTTCTTGTGATGGGACGTTGTAGAGTGTGACCAATAAGGACTGAATTGGTCTGTAACAAGGTGGGCACTGATAAGGGGTTGACAGGTACCACTTATTGGGGTGAGTGGTTGTCCTATGGAGATACTCGTCCCAAACATGGCGAAATGTGGAACCCCCACCACCGTCTCAAAGAGTTGTGACAAGGGAAATGAGCAATACAGCCTCAATGCTCATCTGAGCAAGAACTCGCTTTGTCGTTTGACTCGACAGAGGAGTCTGGGTTGGTGTCGTGTGCGGTGAGTGTGTACGTGCTCCCAGACCAGGCTGGAGTTTGCGGTGTCTCTCTCTCTCTCCGTGGTCGCGTGGATTTTTCTTTCTCCGAAACCCCCCCCCCCCCCGGTTTTCCCCTCCACATTTAGAATCAACATCACGCGCTTAGAGTATTTGGCTGCTATAAATGTCCACGTGATAAGGCGCTTTGTTGAACTATCATTTGTGACAGCCAGGTCGCTTCTGGTTGTGAAGGGGGCTCCAACTCGCAGTTTTGGCCACCAGGTGGCAGGAGGGGGGCAAGCCACCACCCCTGCCCCCATGCGAGTGACGCTACTGAATGTTAGACTGATGGCCTTAATCTTAGTTTTTGTGGTTGTTGTTGTTTGACTTGCATCCCACTGGGATTTTTTTGCACACAGCGTTGGTGTACGGTGCTTTTTTCAGGAATATTTTTGCTGTTTTTTTTTGTCCATGGATTTTCTGTTTGCACAGTCACATAGTCACTTTAAGATGTTTTTTTGTTCGTGTTTTTGTTTTTTTGTTTGTTGTAGTTGCACCCGATTCAAGAGCCGAATGGCTCACAGGGCTATACCAAAAACAAACTGAACTGAACTGAATATACATTAATAAGGAACAGGTTCATATTTAATTTTTTTAAAAGCCCAAAGGAGACTAATGGTGTTCATTGGGTAGACTGAGGATCCAGATTCCATTGCCTTCAATGGGCTCCACTGGAGAGACTGAAGAACCAGCTCCCTTTGACGTCAACAGTGTAATGTCTCCATAATACGTTTTTTTTTGGGGTTTGATCGCGTAAATATCTAAATGTGTCGTTAAACCCGCCACCACGCGACACAGCCAACTAGTAAGGTTTGTCACGTAACAAAGCATGCTAACTCGTTACTAGTGTAGTGTCGTAGGTCTCTTCTTCCTTCTCCCCGTGGCTTGTGTGTGTGTGTGTGTGGCGTGCGGTGCGCACACACACTTAGTCGGAGACGAGGTATTCGCAGGGGGCACCGTCCTTCTCTCTTTATTATCTCTCGCGTTCAAGCCACCGTCTCCGCCCCCCTCTCTCTCTCCCACGACCCGACCCAGACACGACCCTGTCCACGTTGCACCGACGGCGTCGACTGAGACGGCGAACTACTGTCCGGCCGTGCATTCATCGGGCGAAGGCGGCAGCGATGAAGGCAGCAACGACGAGACGAGTCCACTCCCAGAACCGGCAGCCCGGAGCTCTCGCTCTCCGCTGCTTTTATTCCCCTCGGCGCGGCCTGGCTCCGCCCTGGCCGCGCCTCCTTTCTCGAACCCACTAGCGGGTTCCAGGGTCCTCCCGGTGAGGTCTTCTGTGACCCTTGCTCCAGTTCCTCCACCCTGCTGGCACACACGTGTATATGCTCGATGGCGTGCGCGCTAACTGTCCACCGCAGTTGCCGCCACTGGACAGCAGTCGGCATTGTGTCACTACACTAGTACAGCACACCGGTGTGTTGGAGAGCCAAGCCACAACATTTACAATCTGAGTACGACGTTTCGCCAGTAATCACAACTAGCTTCATCAGGCGACAACCAGATTTTTCGTTCCTTTAATAGAGGCGTAGATGTGATGACAACAATCTGACCCAAAAGATCCTGTATTATGGATTAATATTGGTCGCGAAAGCCGACGTGTTAAACTTAAATTATCCCACTGTTCACCGAGAGAAAACACTTCGTACTGAACTACAGCACACGGGATGAGCCTCTAGGCAAATCACCCAGAGTTTGGATGACCTCGTCAGTTCTCGGGAGCCAAGGGGGATTTTTGAACCCGAACAGTGCCAGGATGTGACTACGATGTGATCAGTAGAGGGCAGTACAGCGATTTGTGTCGTATTGAAGGCCACCAAATTCTTGGGAGGCTCAACCCAGACACATGGCGGTGAGCTGGCAGGCCCTCCCCCCATCCACTCCGCCCACTTTTATATAGCCCCGCCCGCTAAAACATTAGCCCCGCCTAATGGTCGCGTAAATCCCGCCCACTAAATGGATAGCCCCGCCCACTACTCAGGTAACCACGCCCACTTCTCAGGTAGCCCCCGCCCACTGTTTAGGTAGCTCCGCCCTCTACCCTCATCACGAGTCGAGAACGAGGCAAGATCATTTTAAATCGGCGACAAAATCCGGTGGGGAATGTGCGGCAGTGACGTGCGGTGAGGACAATGGCTGGGGAGGCACTGGCTAGTGTCAGAACCAGATTCACACACTGAGGGGGGCGTGGCCTCACTGAGGGGGGCGTGTTAGACACGTCCCCCTCAGTGAGGCAGATGTGATTGCTGCCTCCCCTGGTGCTTTTTCATTGCAGTTTCATGACGGGACCAGCGAGCCTAAATATATTTATACACATACGTGACATAAGTTACCTGGAGTATGGAAAGCGAGGACATGAAATGAAGGGGTCTACAAACATTACATTGGTGACACACTGAGATAGTAACAGGCACGCGCT